TGAATTTTGCTACTAATATAGTTTTATTTACCATTTCGTTGATAGATGTTAAGCCGACAGCGAGTAAATCAAATAAAATGTAAGAAGTAAATGAATTGAAATTAAATTCTCATTTAATCCAGGAAATAAATGAAATTTAGGGGCTGTCTGCTAGCGCTTAAAATCAGGAGAAATTGGCTTTTTTTTACCGTTACATTACAAAAAGTGGGGCCATCATCTCATAAAATTGGTCAACACTTGCGGCTCAATATTCCAAATTCTGATTTCAAGCCAGTCCAGATTGTTAAACAGAAATTCGAAAGTAATTCAAATTACATTTAATACCTAATGATCCCAAAATTTTTGGCATCATATTTTATGTAAAATTTCCTAATAAAGTGATGTAAATTATATTAAAAAAATTATCAAGAAAAAATAATAAGCGTTAATGAAATAATTGATTTTTTTTTAAAGAAAAGACGAGATAGAGTCCTCTTTTAAAACGTATGTTTGACACACATTTAACTGTTTTTTATATCCGTTTAGATCATGCAATATGACGACGATGTAGTTCTCGAAACGAGCTTATTGATTTGTGGATTCGGATAGTATACGATCATCGACGAATTTTGAAAGTTAGCATGTTATCGAAATTCTCAAAATACTAGTTTGGAATGACCTTCTTTGATATGTCATAACTTTTTGTTGAGGTTGGTCGTTTGGCACACCATTAACGAGTTAAAAACTAGGTCATGAGAATTTCGAAATTGTATTAAGAATGTAATATTTCGACTTCATTTGGCATTCCATAATGAGTGCGTCAAAGTAGGTCATAAATGAGTCAAAACAACTATTTCTGAAGAAAAAAAAAATTTGTGCGGTCATTTGGCCCCATGTGGGTCCGCCCTTGGTAATAGCTATCCTATATCAGAACAATATTAAAGAAAAAAGAAGTTTAGACCTTATCTATAATGTTCAACTCAACTTACTAATCAAAGGTTTTCTACCTTGCGGGTTACTTATATATTCATGTTTAAAACACTATCAACATATTTGGTACAATATTTTTCTATCTAGTTCTCACACTTCGATTATTTTCTTGATATTTGTACCTTGAGTTGCACATTTGAAAGGGCATTAATGACGTATTTTGTTCAGTTTCGAATTGCTTGAGTATATCTAGATCGTTGATTGTATACAAGTAGATGTTGGATTGCCTAATCTCTACCTAATATGTACAGTTTATGACTTTATTGGGATTTCGAATTTCTTTCTATTTTTCCGTTTCCACGCTCAGATTTTATATTTCTTCACTATTATTTCTTTCAAAAAGAAACGAACTTTATATAACTAGATCTTCTCAAACTGTGGATGAATGAAAAGTTGGAATACAATCAATCCAAACATAAAATTCCAATCTATAGTTATAGATTAAGCAAGATACTTGGCCACCCTATTCCCATTTTTTGAAATATGGCGACATAAATGGTTTATCTGTCATAGCTTTATTCTCCTTAAATTTTGCAATGGGACACAAGACTAAACAAGTGAACCCCGAGGCATGCCCTAGTTTTTAATTGAACCTTAATCCGTAAAAAATACCAAAAAATTTTGGAATAAAACGTGATTTACGTATATTATTATGTCGGAGATGCTATTCTAACGCCATAGTAACTCTCCTGCTAACAAGTCTTACTTGTGTAATAATACATATATAAATTATAGTTAGAGTCAAAACTTCATAAATAATTTTGTTCTAACAAAATTGCCCTCAAAGTACTGAAAATACGGAGGATTTTGTTAAAAGTGCGTGTAATAAAAGACCCATTGGAGGGTACTTAAGTCATTGCACACATTCCAAACACGTGATTACAGCAAATTATAAAAGTAATTATCCAAAAGCTATAAATAGCAAAAAAAAAAAAAAAAGCCCAGGAAAAAAATAAAGAAGAAATACAGAAGAACAGAGAGTAAAAATGGTAGCAATATCACTGTACAAAGGCAATCTCCATAAAATCTCCGATGTACCGCACCGATGGCCGATGCCGGACCGAAAACTCTCTCTCCGAGACTTCAAAATCCTCCGTCGTCGCCGTCTCAACGCTCTCTCCCTCCTCCAGTCTGCCTCCACTCCCGCCGCCGATATCGCCACCACCTCAAACCCTAACCCTGAAATTGGACCTTCCGATGATGTTAAGAATGATATTAAGCGTGATTCTGGTTTTGAAGTTAAGTTAGATCGCCTTGATTTGGATGAGGGACAGATTGTGAAGAAGCGGAAGGATTTGAAGGAGGTTAGAGATGAGAAAGAGTTGGAAAACTTGGTTAAGGATTCTGATGCATTGGTTGAGGAGAAGAATGGAGACAATGTCGAAAATGTGGACAAAACAATGGTTCCGGTGAATCCTGAATCCGAGGTATTGGTTTTACATGTTTCTTTTGTTGAAAATTTTATTTCTTATAAAGTGTTTTTAATTTGAGGCTTTAGATTCCAAGTAATCGAATGATTTTTCTGTTTAGCATTATTAAGGGTATAATTATGGAATGATTCGAGTGAGATGCGTGTTTGGAAACGACACATTTCAGTACGGTATATAAAAATTTACTTGTGTTTAGAGCACCTACAGGGATCACAGTTATCCTTGTGGTTGAGAATATGATGAGTTATGTTTATTCTGTATTATATTTTATTGTGAATAAATGTCTACTACTTTTATGTTCGTTACTAGCCGTTGTGCAGCTGTGCTATTTATGCACTAACATGTACATTTTTTTAATATGGAAAAACTGTGACGGTGAAATGTTTAAAAAACTGTAATGGTGAAATGAATGTAACTGAGAACGTGTAGAACTTGTTAATAGAATGAACCTTTAAAAGGAAAAGGTATGAAATTGTTGATGTTGAGGGTAAGGGGGTTTGATAGTTGAGAAGTTGTATTCTAAGGAGCTTGGTTGCCACTAGATTCATTGATGGATTTTGGTCATTGTTCTTACAAGGTTTGTCATGTATAAAGAACCTATCACATTTTCCATTACATTTCCCTATAGGTTAACTTCTCTTTTCCTTGTGGTAACATAAGAAATTGCATTTTTTTGCCAGTTAATGTCCGTTTTCATTCCTAGCTCAAACCTTTTCTTTTCATCATCTTCATAATAAATTTGTGTTTTTCTAGTGAAGTTTTACATTTGGATGGAAGACTAATTAGGAGAAACATGTGACATGTTTGTTTGTTATCCTATTTATTTATTATATGCAATCCAAAGTGCTAAATATGTCGATCCTACTCATTGTTAATTGAATTTTTTTGGAGCAACAATAAATTAATTACCTTCACTTTCATATCTAAACCAGGTAATAGGCATTACATGTTTTTGAGCTCAACCAGTTTAGAATGACCAAAATGCCCTCAAAAGTACTTAAAAATACGAAGGACTTGAGTTAAATGCCTCTGCGACCAAAGACCCATTGGAGGGTACTTAAGTAGTTGGACAAACTCAATTATATGCAAAAGCTATAAATATGGAAACCCCTGGGAAAAAAAGAAATACCTAAACAGCGAGAAAAAATGGCACCGACATCACGGCACAAAGGCAATCTGCACAAAATCTCCAATGTCACCCACCGATGGCTGATGCCAACCCATAAATTTTCTGCCAGAGACGCCAAAACCCTCATCTTCCACCGCCTGAATTTCCTCTCCCTCCAGTCCACCTCCATTCCCACTGGTGATGTAGCGGCTACCTCAAACCCTAACCCTAATCCTAACTCTGGACTTGGACTTGGACTTGGACCTGGACCTGGACCTTGCGATAATGTTAATAATAATTCTGATCAGAATGACAGTAATTGTAATACTGGTTTGGAACCTGAGTCATGTCAGCTGGATTTGGATCGAGGCCAGATCCTGGACAAGCGAAAGGATTTGAAGGAGGGAGAAGAGGCAGAAGATGAGGAAGAGGAAGGGGAGATTAGAGATGAGAAATTGTTGGAAGGAGAAAATTGTTTGGGAAAACTGATTAAAGAGCCTTATGCGTTGGTTGTGGAGAAGAAATGCAAAAATGTTGAAAATGAGGACAAAACAAAGGTTCTGGTGAATTCCGAATCTGAGGTTTTGATTTTCTGTTTTGCCTTTTTCTTTCTTATATATTTAGTGTAAGACACTTGATTCCAAGTAATCAGATAATTGTTCTGTTTAGCTTGCTACTCTACATTTATTTTCAATGAAATAAGTCATACAGACTCTTCAAGTCAATCAAACTCATACAAAGTCATATTATGAACATGATGTGCAAGAGTAGCCCCTCCCCCTCCCTCCCCTTCATTTTAAAGCTGTGGTGGGTGAAAATTAAATTAGATTTGTAGGTTGAACACTGCTCATCATTCACAAAGCTGACTTGAATGCAGCATAGTGCCCATGATGTAAGCTAAATCGCCTAATGTATTCATATGTCAGCCCTTCATCACAAAATGTAAATTTTTTATGTTTTTTTTTTCTAATTCTGTGAAAACAGCTATTTTAGAACTTCAACCAGAGGGCAGTGAAAGTAATCATTTTTTGTGTTTCTTGTTTTCCTTTATTACATTGCTGTGACATTGTTATGTTACATAGTTCTTTCCCTTTTCCTTTGCAGGCCCACAACTTTGAGAATGATGTTATTGCTAAGGAGAAAAGAAAGAAAGAGGTTAAGGAGAAGCTGGTAATTTTGAATGAGAGAAAACATAGTTTAGTCCAAGTGTTGAAACAGGTAACGTAAGTTCCCTGGAAGTTGTGAGAAAGAATATATTCTGGATGCCTCTCCTTACTCTTAATTTTTTCATATTGATATGGATATCTTCTAGCATTTATCTAGGGAACTGTACTGATTTTGCTGAACAGATTTTGAACGCAGAAGAGGAGCTAAAGAGACAAAGTAGTATGCAAGGGATGGCTGGCCGGCAATTTACTCCACTACTAGTGGATACCACCAATGACTCTGGGTCAATGACTAGGCTAAACACACCTAAAACAGCCTCGGATGGAAATCTTGGTGGAGGTATGGATGTTGGAGAAGCTGATGATGCTTGGAACCATAATGTGCGTTCTTGTAATTTGCTTCGCTTGAGCAGTACCTCACCATCTTCTGATTCTCAACTGAGGAAACCTGCTTCTAATGCGGTAAGTTCTGAAGCTTTGTACACTATGATCATACTACATAGAGTTGCCCCTGTATTTTCTAATACATTTTGAACTCCAGTCTGTTGTTGGAAAAGATAACTGATCATATTTGTCTTGCTTTGGGAGTTTTAGCTAATTTTAACTAGGTTTGTGGATATTGCAAATTTTCTAGTTCATGAATTTATTTAGGCTATGGCTGACATGCATAATGGGAGAACTGCCTTTTAATTTGTTAGATATTGAATTAAATATTCATGGGATTGTACATGGATAGTTTTGATGTTACTTTTCTAATTAATTCTTGCTGACAGCTCATTGGTGTAACTCAGTTTTTGACATGATAAATTTCTTAGTCTTACAACTTCGTATTTAAATGCTCAATATCTGGAACAGTAAGAAGACACCTTAGAAGTTTCACACTTATCATGGGTTGAATATTCTCAAACCACCTTTTCATGTATATTGGCAACAGATTGAGCATTTTAGGTATCGTCAGTAAGCTCTCATTTAATTTGTTCATGATCTAAAATTAAACATTCCTCGTCTAATGAGATAAAGGAGACCATCTGGTACGTGTCTGAGAAAAATAAGATACTAACTGGGCTTCATTATCTGGACATACTGAGATTCTGATGCCTCTGAGATTACGATTGAAGAATGCCAGTACTTATTTTTATAATTACGTCCTTCCTACTATCAGTAAATTTCATTTATATATATATATATATATATATATATATATATATCAAAGAAAGAAAAAGAAAAAGAAAGGAGGCATGTGACTGAAGCCTGACACAAAAATAGTGGCTACATGAGCTTGGTACTTAACCTGTCAATTAGTATTATAATAAGTAAATATTTTTGGTAGATATATAATGGTTAAAATGTTGTCAGAGATGTTTGTTTTCTTAATTTAGTTATTTAACTCGGAATGGAAATTGGACGGAACTCCCAAACATTACATAACCCTTTCTCGAGATTTGTAAAATTCTGGCTAAGCATATTACATTTATCAAAGCTATTATATTGGATCTCTGAGATGTGGAGTGTGTTCATTTACTTCCATTATGAAGCAGGTCCCTCACTCTTCTCGAACTGCACTGGGAGCTGTTGGTAGTCCTTTAAGCTTTGCACCCTCTGGGCAACAAGGACACACTTCGAATCCTCCCTCAGTATCTGTGTCGGGAACGAATTACATTGCCTCTTCTCCTTCTCCTGCTGCATCAGGTGGTACTTCAGTGTTTAGAGATGGCCGGCTCCCGAGTCCATGGAATTAGAAGCTGCTGCCTGGATATAACCTTCCGAGGCTGCATTTTCGTATTTCCTGCATTTTAGCTTTTTGTGCTTGACTGGAACAACCTTTCGAACTGTAGGTTGCAAATCCATTCCCATCATTGTATATGTGAGATGTTTGAATGGTTTTGGTGGTTTCTGTTGTGTATTGAATAAAACTCATGTTTGGTATAGAGTACTTGATAGGATTGGACAGTCCAATCGTGAAGATTGTAGCTTTATTTTCTTGGTTAGTACTGTTTGGTTTTGTCCCGTTCACTTTACCAAACATGTCATTAGTTTGAAGGAAAAAAGAAAAAGAAAAAACTTAAATAGAATACATAGTGGAGGTAGATCTGACATGGCATGGTGTTCAAACATGGAAGATGATTGTAAATTCTGTTTTGTTCTTTGTTTCCACGTTTTGGTTTGCTGTATGAGGTTTTGGGAAAATTAGGGAAAATCAGGCATTAAGTATCTCCTTTTTAAAAATCAGGTTTTCACCTTTTTTTTTTTTTTTATCAGGTTTTTATCTTTAAAATTTTTTTTTTTTTTTATCATTTTAATTAAATAATTAACTCTTTAAAACCTAATTTATCTTTTTATCCCACACAATCCTCCCCCCTCGTTTCTCTCTCTCTCACTCTTATTCTCACCGCCGCCTCTTCCCTCACTCTCACCACCGCCGCCGTGCCCACCGCCTCCATTTCTCTCCCCCACCCTCCCTTCTCCCTCCCTATTAAGCTGTTGCCATTCACCCACTGCAGCGACGCCACCCACTGCTGTGGCTGTGCAGCGTCGCGGTGCTGCTGTGACACCCACAGCAGCGTCGATGCTGCGATTCACACCGGGTTTCAGAGTATCTGCAAAGAGCGGTTGCTATTTTGAGTATCAGTTTCACATCGGGTTTCAAAGTATCCAATTCACACCGGGTCACAACTTACATTCTCGGATTCTCCATTATTTCTCCTATAGAAAAGAGCGGTTGCTGTTTTGGGTCATTAGATTTTATGGCCAAGTGTTTGGAGGTGGTTGTGACCAAGTGCGGTTGCTGTTTTGAGTATCCGATTCACACCGATTTCACATCGGGTTTCAGAGTATCCGATTCACACCGGGTCAGATCCTGAAGATGGGTAAATAATCTGTGGTGTATCTTGTATTGTACTGGCATTGGTGTTTAAGTGTTTTTAGTTGGCCTTTTTTTGGTTGTTGGAGTGGTGATGTGAGCCCCTACAGTGGTGTCATTGGTGTTTTTAGTTGGGGGTTTTTTTGGTTGTTGGAGTGGTGATGATCATTTTTACGTTTTGGTGGTGTTTGAATTGGTGTGGCGATGGTTGTGTGTTGTTGTGACGTGTCGACGGCGGTGGTGGTGGCGGTCGCGAATGTCTGTGACCTAGGTAGGTGTGTGTGACCAAGGAATTATGACTGTGACTCGTTGAAATAGAGTTGTGACCCGTAAAACTTTTGAATTTTTTTAATCTGTGACCTATAAAAAATTACCCGTGACCTTAAAATTCTTGATTTGTGACCTACGAAGTTAACTGTGACCTGTAATTTTTTTATCAGTTTTGATCTGTGACCTTAATTTTTTCGATCTGTGACCTCGAATTAATCTGTGACATATAAAATTTTAAATCTGTAACCTCGAAATAATCTGCGATCTACAAAATTTTTTATCTGTGACCTCGAAATAATCTGTGACCTGCAAATTTTTTGATCTGTGTCGAAAAAGTCTTCGGAGTGGTCGTCGATCACCGGAGGCCGGAGTAGTCGACGGTTGCCGGAGTGGTCACCGGTCACCGGAGTAGTAGCCGAAGCAATGGGGGTGGTGGAGGCGGGGTGGGTTAATTTTATTATATTACAGTTAAATGTTTAATTTAATATAATAATTCTAAAATATAATTAATTAATTTAAGAAAAACCTGATTTTTACAATTTTAAATTTTGGGACCTAATTTTTAAATTTGGAATAGATAATACCTGAGCTGTAAATTTTTCCCTGAGGTTTTCGTGGTTGCTACTTGCTAGCCTTACTGTGGGGGCCCAAAAGCAATATAATTACTTGAATGCAATGACTGAACATATAGTCAATTTATCAACGATGATATTATGCTGTTTTTAAAGATTTGTCGTGCTTTCCATTCTTAGCAGACTAATGCTACACATCATCATTGGTGTTTAACATCAATCTAAATGACAATTACATGATTCATTTAATTCATTCAATTTATAAAGTATAGACATTTAGACTGATGTTCTAGTATTAGATAACATTATTCTTTTTATCATTCTCTTGCATGTTTATTTTATTTTATTGCGGATGGTGAAAGGGAGGGACCTTGCATCTATCATTGTGCATTTTTGCCCCGTCCCTCAGCAAATCCGAAATATTAGAATGAATTATGTTGGGAGTTCTTGAGAATTCACTTGATACGTTAGAATTGGCGAGATTTACATAAATGACCGAAGGAGAATGGTTATAGGTAGTTACCGTTTCTAGCTACTAGCTAGCACGGAAAACCATTGTTATAAAATAAATCCAGGTACTTCCATTAATGCATTAAGTACAATTGCGTCGAGCTATGGTATCAGGGTCAACTAATTGACTTTACCTCCCTTGCCCTTCACTCGCGGCGCACTTTAGAACCAAGCCAAAGCAGATCTCACCACAAAGACCCCTCAAATCAGTCTTATATTCCTATTCAGGACTCTCTTCCATTCCCTTCAGACTTTATCCTTAACAAAATACCAGACTGTGACACAACTCCCCATCCATTCACAGGCTCAAGTTAGCACCATTAGACCTTAAAACAAACACCAATGGATCCCACACAGAAAAAGCAGCTCAAATCCACCCCCTCCACCACCACCACCAAGCCCCACCCATTTCCAGATCCCACCACCACCACTATCCAAAAGAACATGTCTCATCACTTTTCCAAGCCTTGTGCAAATCACAAAAAGCTTGCTTCCTTGATACCCTCCAGTGGGCACTCAAAAAAATCTCAACACGACACAAATTTCCAAGCCAAATGCATTTCGGTTCCCTCAGTTTTGGACACCTCTTGCACCACTTTAACCAAGTCTAAGAGCCAAAATGAGAGAAATAATGTGTTTGAAGAGTTCAACACAAGAACCAAGGTTAAAGAGAAGTTCAAGAATATTAGTGAAATCAAGAAACCGTCAAAGAAAGATGTACCAAAAAAATCTTGTTGTGAATCCCAATTGAAGCCAACAAGTTTATTAGAAAGTGAAAAAATTATGAAGAGATTTCAACAAGGGTTTGAAATGAGAAGGTCATCTATATATTCATTGCCAATGAATGGAGGGACAAGAAGGTCATTTTGCAGTTCCCCTGTAGAGTTGGCTGATTTCTTATCTTGTAATGGTGTTAAGGTTGTGGCTGTTGATATGCCCCCATTCATGCAGATTCATGCTGTGGATTGTGCAAGAAAGACTCATGATAGCTTGGAAAAGTTCACTTCCAAGGCCCTTGCCCTTGCACTAAAAAAGGTGAACAAATTAGTAATCATTACAAATTTTTGTTTTGATCTATAAAATTTGCTAATGGATATAGTTTATGATCTTGTTGTTTTGCGAGTGAAAAAGGATTCATGTAGTAGACCTCAAATCAATTGAACAAAAGCTTAACTTTTTGTTGTTTGTTGTGTGTTTGGGATAGTTGCTTATGCTCTTGTGCTTAGCAATGAATCGAACAGAGAAGAGATACGTGTTGGTTTGTGACAGATGCTTCTAATCTAGTTGTTTAGGAATAACTCGAAACGGATATAGGGAGCAACCCCAAATTTATAGGAAAAAGGCATAATTTATTGTTCTTTGTTGGTACATGATAGTTGCTTGTAATCTTGTGCTTAGTAATGAATAGAACGATTTTTCGCGGGTATCGCTACCCATTGTAATTTCGATCAATCCATCATGAACAGGACGTAGGCCACTCTAAATTTATCAAGAAACATGGTTGCCCTTTATATCTTTTGATTAAAGATTAAAAGGGTATTTTATTTTGATTTGCAGGAGTTTGATGGGGTGTATGGACCAGCTTGGCATTGCATTGTAGGGACAGGTTTTGGGTCTTTTGTAACTCATTCGGTGGGTGGATTCATCTATTTTTCTATGGATCATAAGTTATATGTCCTCTTGTTCAAGACTACTGTACAGAGAGCAGATTGAACAAGTTCGAACTCTTCTTAATATAGAGAAAATTTTCTATCTCCCCATGTATAGTTTTGTACACTGGAAATTTAACTAAGAAATCATGGGCAATAATCTTCCCACTCCATTCCATTAGACCTTCTTGTAAGACATTTTTTTGAGTGGCTAAAGGCACTTCAAGAAATGGCACTATGAGTTATTGGGATTTTGAATGACGAATATGATGAATTTAAAGTCGATTACACGAATTCTTTGTTTCAAACTTTTGAATTTTTTTTTCTTGGTTTGAGTAAATTTTTGGATGTAACGTACTAGGGCAATTGAATGTCTCTTTATGAGTTGTATTGTGCCTTTAAGTGGTATAATGGCAACTTCAGATCTGTATGCAGGTGACTTAAGGATGTTTTTTTGGTAAATTGACGAAGTCATGTTCAATTCTGTTTTGTTTAACATACCAAAGCCCCATTCGGTTTGAATAAAAATTAAACTTTTAATAAATTTTGATGAAATATGGGATTGAAATGAGTTTTAAGACAAAATGATTTTGAAAAATAAGATCGAGTCCCTGCCAAATGAAGATAGTATAATGACATAAAACTTGATCACTTTTAATAGGCATTCAATAATCACTAGAATACTAGAGTGAATTTCTCGAGTTTATTGTCTAACAGTCCGTCCCCCCTCTAAGTTCAAATTTCAAGTTGTCTATTGCCTGGAACTTGAGTTTTATTTCTTACGCATTAGGGGACACGACTATATAAATTTTAACTTTTTTTTTTTTTTAATTTTCTTTGACTATGTTCGATCTAAAATAGTAAATATGTCATTAGAATTTATCCAGACTAAAATGAGTAATCACGCAAAAAAGTTTTTGGGTAAGACAAAATTCGCCGCTGATTAACAAGAGAGAGAAAATCCGCTTTCAAACAAGTTTCCTACCAAATAAGGCCTAGAACCAATTGGTCGAGTCGAACAAAGTAACAAGTCTAGGGCATGAATCGTGATCAAGCCTCAAAGAAATGGGAGATCACCTTGACAATGCATGTATTCATGTCGAGTTTGAACCATAGATAAAATACCTGTTTCAAAGGGTGCGCATTCTTTATTAGAGGGATAGAAAAGGTGAAAAGGCCCTTTGTCGTTTGGCCTTTAGCCTTAAACAAACAACTTTGGCGTTTGGCCTTTAGCCTTAAACAAACACCAATCATAATTTGACATTTCTCAAGATCAAAAAGCTTGAAATCAACTGAAGAATCCATCACATCACATGAAACCTTTTTCTTGAAATTTGTCTATGTTTCTATATGCTATTCTCATGTCATCTATGAATAAAAACTTTTGTGGCCACGTCATATTGCATGTCTTTATATGGATGTGGACCAAATGGCAATAGGTGGCGTGGGGTGGGATAATGAGAATAGAATAGTCATAGAGGCTACTAGCTAGAGCTCCATACCAATCACAGAGTTTTATGGCATGTGCAAATACCAGACAAAACTTATAGATTGTAGTGAGTGTTGAGAAAGGAGTTTGTCTCTCTCACTCTGACCATCACCACTTTGAAGGTGCCACTTAACTAAAGGAGCAAGAAAATTGACGTGCTTAAGTCTTAAAATCACCTGTGTGGCGAACAGTGCACTGTTATGTCTATAGAAAAAGATTAAAACATGTCCCAACCAACTCAAAATGTCATTTCATAAACTATTTTCACTTTTTTGAGAAGCATATTTAAGTAAATTTTACTGGTGACATATGTACTTTATAAATTGTATAATGAGTGTGTTTGGTGGGGATTTTTGGGGGAATAATTGATTTTTGAATAGTGATATGATGGGAAATATGTGATTGAAAAAGAAAAAAAAGTATTGATGTGATGGAAAATATTATTTTATTGAAGAATATGTGGTTGAAAATGAGAATTAATTTACTGTAGAAAATGAAAATCTGTATCAAACAGGCCCAATGAATCGTAACTCAGTATACTCGATAAACAAAATGAATAGTTGTGATGCTAAATATAATAAGCTTAGCTCTCTATCTGACTAGCAATCAATAATATAGTAGAGTTGAGACCCCTCCGAGGGTGGCTGAGTTGGTGGAACAGGTGAACGTGGAGACCAAAGATCACGAGTTCGAATTCCCTACCAACACTTCCTTTGATCGAGTTTGTCGCACCGGACTTGCCTAGTGCGGTTTACATCTCCTTGTGGTTTGCGGGCTACTGCACATGGAGCGAGGTTTACCTGGTGCGTACTCACAGTGATCGGGCATCCGCCCCTTCAGGGTGGTCGGGGCTACGCTGGCAAGTAGGGGCTGCAGATTCCAACGTCAACAAAAAATAAAAAAAAAATCTATATATATAGTAGAGTTGAGCATTCAAACATACGAGAGAGACGAATGTATTCAAAATCCTCACAACTTAACCAATAATTGCATCAACACAAGGTCTTTAGCCATAAAATAGAGGTTCACCTATCAGAGATGGAGGTTAAAAATTCAGACGGACATTGGACTTTTCACATTGTTTTCATTGACAATTAAACTTTATGAGTTTTGGGGATGGTCATTGTTATCTCATATATCACTCAATAAATGAAAAATTGACGAACTCGCTGATATGGTAAACAAGAATACTGACATGACACATTATTGCCGTTAGTTGATACAAACCAATGAAAGCGTATCCATTAAAAGCGATTACCCTCTTTCAATAATAGAAAACGCTGTCTTCTCCGGGTGTTCCATTTTCTATTAAAGTCGACATCAATGGACAAAGAGAGACAAAATCGAGGTAATAAACTCTAATCTTCACATAATTTGATTTTTTTGGGACCACATTTTTTAATGTGTTGGATGCTTGTTGTTTGATAGAATTCAAAATGCAAATTTAGAAGGTGAGAGATTGTAGATATGTTTCCTTTTATGATTTGTAATGTTTTGAAATGATTTTTGGTAAACACCAGAAATCTTTTTGCACTAAGGAGAAAAGTTCAGGACTCGGATAATGTCTTACATAAATTGGATCCGACCTGTTAAAGGATAAAATTTCACATCGAATAAAAATGAAAATATAGACTAATTTGTAAGAGTTTAGGCATGTTGATTTTTTAAGATAAACTCAAAATCTTAACATAGTATCAGTGCTCATTAAACTCTAACTAGCAATTCGATCTGATTAAAACTAAACAAACGAGTACATGAATTTCAATATTAATTTACTCAAACGAGCCACTATCTTGTATGGGCATGTTAAGACATAAAATTTCACATCAAATAAAAATGAAAATATAGACCAATTGATAAGAATTTGTACTACTTCTCTTAATAACATTAACCTTTAAGATGGAATCCTAAAACTTAAAACGACCCTAATTGATCCATGTACTTGGTTTCATGTCCCAAGTGACCCAAGCTCAGCAAAACATTATTCTAGTCATGAAATTCTCTCACAGTCTCACTGCAAGAAGATCATTTCCTATTTACCAAAAATCATTTCAAAACAATTGCAAATCATTAAACAAACATAGATCTAATATACGATTTCTCAACTTTTAAATTTACATTCGTGAATTCTATTGAACAACGAACATCCAACATAATAACATATGCAGTCCCTATAAATATTAAATTATATGGAGATTAAGGTTTATTACCATAATTTTGTCCCTCTCTATCCAATCGTCGACTTCAATAGCAAATGGCAGTTATTTTGGAGTATTAAAGATAAATGTTGACTCATTAAAACCTTGTTAGGAAAACCTAATGGGATAAAACCTAAACAAAGGAAAAAGAGTATAATTACTCCCCTTGATATTGATCACTAAAAATCTTTGAATTGACGAATTCCAATCTTGTGAACCAATTTCTTGAGTGTAGATGTTGGCAAAGCTTTTGTAAATAAATCAGTCACATTGTCATTTAAAAAAAATTTGTTGAACATCGATGTCGACATTCTTCTAAAGCTCGTGTGTATAAAAGAATTTTGAAGAAATAGAAGAAATATGTTTCGTCCTGTCACCTTGGATATAATCTCCATTGAGTTGTGCAATACAATCAGCATCATTTGCATACAAAATTGTTGGACTATCTTTTGTTGAAATTAATCTGCATAATGCTTGGATATGATTGGTCACGTTCCTCAACCATACACATTCTCGGCCTGCTTCATGGATTTCAATAATTTCAAAATGATTTGAGAATGATGCTGTCAATGATTGCTTCACAGATCTCCATGACATAGCCGTTCCTCCACGTGTAAACACGTATCCTATTTGTGATTTAGTTTTATGTAGGACAGAGAGATAAAATACATATGCATATCCTACTAAAGCAAATCCCGACTTTTGAGAATAAAATAATCACAAATCAATAGTACCTTAAAAGGTAACGAAAAATATGTTTAACACCATTCCAATGTATTTGTGTTGGTGTAAAGCTATCTCTTGTAAGGGGATTTACAGAAAAACTATGTCGGGTCGAGTGCAATTTGCAAGATAAGTTAATGCTCAATTGCACTAAAATATAGTACTTCAGGATCAAGAATCTTTTCTCCATCTTCAAGTGGGCGAAAATGATCATTTTTATATTAAGTGATCGAACAACCATAGGTAAACATATGACCATCTGGTAGAAGAATCAATTAATACCATAAAATAATGAAATGGTTCACATGGTGGGTGTATTGGCCCACATATATTTCCATGAATCTTTTCTAAAAAAGTTGGAGATTCAATATTGACATTTATAGCCGAAAGTCTAATAACTAACTTGACTTGCGAACAAGCCACACATTGATAATCATTAGGTAAAAGAATCTTCTTGTTCTTTAAAGGATATCCATGTGAGTTATTTATTATTCGATGCATCATTAGAGCTCCTAGATGACCAAGTCGATCATGCCAAAGTATAAAATTTCTTGGATCAACGAACTTCTGGTTCGTGCTAATTTTTTATTCTACGATTTTTATAAATGTATAATACATGCCAGATGAGAGTGCATAAAATTTTTCTTTTATCTGCTTCTGGCCGATACAAAAGAAGTTATACAAAGATATTCAACATGTTTTTCTTGTATCGTCTCAATGTGATATTCATTGCAATGGATATTTTTAAAACTAAGCAAATATCTTCTGGATTTGCTTGAATAAAGTGAATCATCAATATATAATTTTGTATTATTTGATAAAATAATACAATCTCTTCCGAAGCTTTCAATGATATTCGATGCACCTGATATCGTATTAACATTATTTTCTATCAATGTTAAATTCAAAAAATATTTTTTGTCTTGAAAAATAGTATGTGTAGTTGCACGATCAATCAGACAAGTATTTTGGCAATCTATCGTGAATCTATAAGAAAATAAATATGTTTAAAAAAAAAACTTGAATTTAAATTTAAAAAAGTAAATATAATTTAGTATTATAAAATTAACGATACATAATAAAGTTTTATTGTTTTGCTAAAAATAAGAATATAATTTAAATTGAGTTTCTAAAATGAAAAGAAATACTAGAAAGTAAATTAATTTATATCTTCCATTACACCACCACCAATCAAATAGTCAATATTTTCATTTGGATCAGCAAAGAAATCAAAGACATCTAAATGTATCACATCAATGGACCATCATAATCAGCAAAATTAGTCTTTATTTTTTCCTTTCCTTTAATTGATTTTTGGTAGAGATCCACAAAGTATTTTGTCGTATGACAGGTACGTGCCCAATGCCCTTTCATTCCACATCCAAAGCAACTTTCTTCATGCTCCTTTTTGGATATGCTATTTTCGTTTGCTTTGTGAATTTTGAAATTATTGCCTTGTTGCTGATAATTTTATTGATTATTTCTTCCATAATTTATTCCACGTGCACGTCCGTGTCCAAATCCACGTCCTTATTTGAATATTGTTTTTGCTTCAAGCAATGCAGTATCATTTGCTTCAGACAATGGTATAGAACCAGTTGGACGTAACCCATGATTTTTCATTAGCAGTTCATTATTTTGTTCAACTACAAGCAGGCAAGATATGAGTTTTGAGTACCTTTTGAAACCACGTCACGATATTGATGCAGCAGGAGTACATTTGAGGCGTGAAAGGTGGAAAACATTTTCTCCAACATATCTTCAT